CACCTCGGTCAGTGCTCCCCCCTGCTAGCGGGCGCGGGGAGGGCCCCGTCCACCCAGCGGAGGTACACACAGCCCCTACACACACACGCACACACACACACACACACACACACACACACACACACACGGCCCCGGTGCACCCAGCAGAGGTACACACAGTCCCTACACACACACACACACACACACACACACACACACACGGCCCGGGTCTACCCAGCGGAGGTACACACAGTCCCTACACACACACACACACACACACACACACACGCACACACACGGCCCCGGTGTACCCAGCGGTGGTGCATGCAGCCCCTATACACGCACACACACGCACACACGGCCCCGGTGCACCCAGCAGAGGTACACACAGCCCCTATACACACACACACACACGCACACACACGGCCCCGGTGTACCCAGCGGTGGTGCACGCAGCCCCTATACACACACACACACGCACACACACGCACACACGGCCCCGGTGCACCCAGCGGTGGTGCACGCAGCCCCTATACACACACACACACACGCACGCACACACACACACACGGCCCCGGTGTACCCAGCGGTGGTGCACGCAGCCGCTCCCCACACACGCACGCCTCTCCCTCCCGGGACCTGTTAGCCGCCGCTGCCCCGCTCCAGGCGGGCGGAGGGCTCACAGCGCCGGCCGCGCTGTGTCGCTGTGTCCGTGATCGGGAGCTCGAGGCCCCACGTGGGCCAGAGACCCGGGCCCTCAGCGACAGCGGGGGCCCCCTGACCGCCTGCCCGTGCCCCGCAGGACTGGGCCAAGGCCGGCCCCCACGAGCAGCCCTCCACCCTGCAGCGGAGGAGGGACCGCGGGGAGCTCCTGAGGGACGCGGAGCCGGGCCCGGCCGGCGGGGGCAGCCTGGGCCCCGGGGCCGACGAAGCCCCCCGCGCCCGCATGTCCCCCGCCACCATCGCCGCCAAGGTAGGCGGCAGCCCCCCCTGGGCACCCGGCCGGGCCCCCTCCCCTCCCCTCCCGGCGGCCTGCCCCCGGAGCCAGGCTCAGCGCCGTCCCCCCTCCCAGCACGGCGAGGAGGTGTCCCCGGCGGCCAGCGACCTGGCCATGGTGCTGACGCGCGGCCTGAGCCTGGAGCACCAGAAGAGCAGCCGGGACTCGCTGCAGTACTCCAGCGGCTACAGCACGCAGACCACCACGCCCTCCTGCTCGGAGGACACCATCCCCTCCCAAGGTAGGCCCCGGGGCGGGGGCGGGCCCCCCGGCCGCCGGCCGCGGCCCCCCGGCCCCGGCCCACGGCCTCCCGTGCCCCCAGGCTCCGACTACGACTGCTACTCGGTGAACGGGGACGCGGACGCCGAGGGCCCGCCCGAGTTCGACAAGTCGTCCACCATCCCCCGCAACAGCAACATCGCCCAGAACTACCGGCGGCTGCTGCAGACCAAGCGGCCGGCCTCCACCGCGGGGCTGCCCAGCGCCGGGCTGCCCGCCGCCGCCGCCGCCGCCGCCAGCTCGGGCGCGCCCCCCGGCGTGGCCACCATCCGCCGCACGCCCTCCACCAAGCCGGCCGTGCGCCGCGCCCTGTCCAGCGCCGGCCCCATCCCCATCCGGCCGCCCATCGTGCCCGTCAAGACGCCCACGGTGCCCGACTCGCCCGGCTACGCGGGGCCCACGCGGGCGGGCAGCGAGGAGTGCGTCTTCCACGGCGGCGGCGGCGGCGACGAGGCCGGCTCGCCGCTGGCGCCGGACCTGGCCAGGGCCTCCCCCAAGCGGCTGAGCCTGCCCAACGCCGCCTGGGCCGCCGGCCCGGCCCCTGAGCCCGCCGCCTACCCCGGGCCGGCCGCCGCCGAGGACGAGGAGCAGCAGCAGCGGCTGGCCGCCAACCGGCACAGCCTGGTGGAGAAGCTGGGCGAGCTGGTGGCCGGCGCCCACGCCCTGGGCGAGGGCCAGTTCCCCTTCCCCACGGCCCTGGCGGCCGCCCCGGCGCAGGAGACGCCCGCCCCGCCCGCCGCGGCCGCCGCCGGCGACGCCCCCGCCGAGGACATGCTGGTGGCCATCCGGCGCGGCGTGCGGCTCCGCAGGACCGTCACCAACGACCGGTCGGCGCCCCGCCTCTTGTGATGGCGCCGCCGGCCAGGAGGCCAGAGCCGGGCAGAGCCGGGCGAGCGTCGTCTCCTCTCAAGTCACAAGGCAGAGCCGCCTGGTGGGGGGCCCACCACGGACACGGACACGGACACGGAAAGGGACTCCTTACAGACCTCTCGCGGCCCCGGATTGGGAGCCCGTTTTATACGCTCCTGCCCGCTCTGTCCTCCTGCTCCTGCTCCTCCTCCTTCTCCTCCTCTTCCCCCCAAGCCCTGCTTCCCCATCTCAGCGAGCCCCCGGCGGCTCCCCTGCCCGGGGCCTGGGCTGGGCGGGCAGGGCCACAGCCTTTCGGAACTGAGCCCTCCTCCGCCCCCTCCCTCCCTGCCTCCACGAGGGAGGCTGTAGGGCTAAGGTAGCAGGTGCGACCAAAAAGGTGAGCAGAGTGGCCGGTGGTCTCGGGGGCAAGTGAGGTTGGGAGGCCAGCCCGCCATGGGGGCCAGGGGCCGAGGGCCCCGTCTCCAGGAGGAAATGCAGGGAGCCCACCCGAGGGGCTGGGTTGGAGGGGGGGGCGGGGAAGCGAGTCGGAGGCTCTGGGCGAGGGGGCGGCCCCCGTCCTCGATGGGGCGCGTCCGGCCTCACCCGGGGGGCGCTCGGCTCCCGGCTGCAGCCACCTTTGGGGGCGGGGGGCAGTTTTTTGAGTCTAATCAAGCGGAGCTGCCTGGACGAGGACTGTGTGTGGGGACAGGGTGGACGATACAGGGTGTGTCCAAGAGTGCCTGAGGGACAGGGCCCCGCCGCGGTCTGGGGGACCCGTGGCAGGAGGAGGAGGACCCATCGGCTCCCCCGAAGCCCAGCGACGGACAGGAGGCTGTTCTCTCCAGCCCGGAGCCAAATCGCGGGCGTCCGGCTGGCCGGGCTGAGGGCAGTCCGGGGACGTTGGCTGTGACTCTCTGTTGCCAGAGGAGACGCCAACCCAGGATGCATCCCTCACCCTTTGTGCACCACGTTGTGCCAACGCTAAGGTAAAAGGAGGTGAGCCCCCAGAGGAGGGCTCCCCGGGGCCCGCAGAGCTGGGTGGCAGGGCCAGAGCAGGGGCCTTCTGGGTAGGTCAGCTTTACCTGGTCTGGACGGACGGACGGACGGATGGGGCTGGTCGGGGTCTCCCGGCTGGAGGTCTTGGTGGTTCTTGTGCTGGGGTCCAGGTGGGGCAGGGGGACCGAGGGCGCCTCCTAGCGGAGGGAGCCCCGGCCCCGGGGACGATGGAGAAGGTACCTGTAAGTCGCTAGGTGGGTACAAGCTTGCTGAGCGCCCGGGCCGGGCCCAGCGCCCGGGGCGAGGGGGGCCTGAGGACCGGAGGGTGGGTGGCCAGCCTGGGCAGCGGCCCCGGAGCGGGTTACACCGCCCCTCCCGCAGCTGCCAGGCTCGGCCTGGGAGGAGGATGCAGGATGTGTGATGGGAGCGGGGTGCGGAGCATTGGGGGGCGGCTGGGTCCTTGCGCCCCCAGAGGAAGGACTTGCCTCCCGGGGAGGGGGGCGGCTGTGGCTTTGGAGGTTCAGGGAGGGTGTGCCCCCACCTTGCTCGTCCCCCTCCCCTCCCAGCCACCCCGGGGGCTGTACATAACTCCTCCCCCGCCCGCCTCCCGTCCACGTAGCGGCCGCCCCCCGGGATCTGAGCCAGCCACCCCGCCTCTGACTTCGGTTGGGGACTTTTACGTCTGGTTTTTATTTTCCATTTTGTACAGAGGCATTCTTTTTCCAAGTCTTCGGATTGAAGTAACTTTTCTGGTGCTGTTGTTAACTTGTTCCTTCTTTTAATTTATTTCCCTACCCCCGGCCTCCTCCGTCCCTCCCGCCTCCCACGTCCCTCCCGCCTCCCACTCAGCCTCTCTCCCCTTCTCCGCCTCATCCCATCCGCACCATTTCCTTTCTTTCCTGTGGGTTTTGGTTTCGAATAAATTATCCTCTCCACCCCGTCGCCCTCCTCCGGCCACCCTGCCCCCGATCTAATAGTCACGGCTACAGTAACGATGCACTGTGAAGACCCAGTATTAATAAAGTTGTACTGTAATGAGCGCCTGCCTCTCGCCCGGCCTCCTCGTGCCTCCCCGCTTCCCTGCCTACAGCACCCTGCACCCCGCCCTTCCGACCTGGGTCCCGGGCCCAGCCTACACCTCTGCAGGATTCCGCTCCGTCCCTGCCGGGGGGCCGTCCAGGCAGCCAGAGGGCGGAGGCCTAAGGCACTGTGGGGTCAGCCCCCTGGGACGGGCTAAGAGGAAGTCAGGCCCTCAAATGCCCCAGCCAGGCTCTGGGAGAGGGCCCCCCACCCCCCCCCCCCGGCCCGGCCCCCCAGCTGTTCCAGCCACCCGTGAGCTGGAGCAGGAGGGGAGGGTGGAGAAGGGACTCGCCGTTTCACCCTCCCTGATGCAAAGCAAAACAAACAAAAACAAAATAAAGTGGGTGTTTAATAGAAAAAAAAAAATGAACGGGCAGAGAACCTACTGTGGCAAGATATGGCGTTTGGCCCTGGCCCTGCCCTCTCCCCGGCCTGGCTGAGGCCTGCGTCCTCCACGCCCCCCTGCCCACCGGGCTCAGCGCCCAGGCAGGCGGTGCCAGGAGGGGCCGTGAGCTGTCTGGTTCCCCTCTAGGTGACCCCAGGCCCCCCCACTTCCCGAGAGGCCCTGGGAGGCACTGAGGGTGGGACCCCGCCTCCACACAGGGTCCCCCCCAAAGGAAAAACACCCTCCCTGGGACTCTCCCACGGGGGGCGCCCCCCCACCACCCAGCGACACCTCAGGCCCCATCCGAGGAGCGCCTCACCGGGCACCGGCACCAGGCAGGAGGCCTCTGCCCTCAGAGGCTGCAGTGAGCCTGTGGCCTTGGAGCCGAGGGGCCAGGGCGGGCCCGGGAGCGGGGCTGCAGGGCGGAGCGCTCGGCTAGGCGTCCACACACTGCGGCAGGGGCCCTGGGCTGTGGGGCTGCAGGCCGGGCACTCTACAGTCCTGCCAGTTTAGGATGGATGTTTCTTTACCTGCAGGGGAAAGGGGGGAAACAAAACAAACCGTAGGAGTGGTCAGCACTCACCTTGTCCCCAGTCCGAGCCCTATTATTTTAATTTCTTTACTGATTACGGTATCACCTATTTGTCCTCAATCCCCCACCCCGCCCCTCATGCCTTCCCCCCTATTGTCCTTGACCGCTGGTTAGGCTCATGTGTGCACATAAGCCCTTTGGTTGATCTCTCCCTTGTATCCCCACCCTCCTCTGAGGTCCAACAGTCTGGCCCATGGCTCCTCATCTCTGGGTCTGTGCTTGTTCATCAGTCTGTGTTGTTCACCATTTCCCCTAGATGAGTGAGATCATGTCCTACTGGAAATACACTTATAAGAATCGAAAATGAGACAAGCAGTCATGGTTATGCTGAAAGGCATATGCATCAGTCTGTAGTGAGCTGCTTTCTGGGCCACCGGTTCTTTGGAGACCCAGTTTCAATGTCAAACAGTTCCTTGTGTGTGCCTGTCGGCCACGATTTTTCAGTTCTGGATGGCGGGCAAGTGGTGGTCCAGTCCGAGCCCTATTGATCCTGTTCCCACACCCAGAGCCCATCTCAGCTTCCAGAAATGGCCTGTCACCCTGCGGAGCCCAGGGCACCCCCAGGAGGGTGCCAACTCCGCCCCCCGCCCGGCCCGGCCCGGCCCGGCCCCCACCCCCACCCCGGCTCCTTACAGCAGGCGCAGTACAGCAGCTCCATGACCCGGAAGCAGTTATCCAGCAGGGCTTTGGGCCGCACCAGCTTCCCGCTCAGCCTCCGGGCACTGAGGAGGGACAGTGCTTCCACCTGGGGGCTGGGCTTCACGACCTGGGGGGAGAGGGGACCCCACCCGGTGAGGCCTGGGCTGGAGGAACGGCCACAGGCCAGCACGGCTGTGGGGCTGTCACGTCTGGAGCCAAACCCAGCAGACAGACAAGCCTCCCCGGGACCAGGAGGCCCGTGAGCCGCTTCCCTCCCTCTTCCTCCAGCTGCCGCCCTTCCAGGGGAGGGGGTACCCCTCCCCGTCCCCCACCCCAAGACAACACAGAGGCCTCTCTCCTCCCATCTCTGGAAAAATGACTACCCTGCCCAGAGGCACCAAACAGCCACAAAAGAAGTCCCTGGGACCCTAGCCGGTTTGGCTCAGTGGATAGAGCATCAGCCTGTGGACTGAATGGTCCCGGGTTCGATTCCGGTCAAGGGCAGGTTACCTCGGTTGCCCGGCCCTGTTTAGGGGCAGCAGGAGACAGCCAATCGATGTCTCTCTCTCTCTCTCTCTCTCTCTCTCTCTCTCTCTCATCAGTGTTTCTCTCTGTCTCTCCCTCTCCCTCCCACTCTCTCTAAAAACCAACGGAGCCCTAACCAGTTTGGCTCAGTGGGTAGAGCATCTGCCTGTGGACTGAAAGATCCCAGGTTCGATTCCGGTCAAGGGCATGTACCTTGGTTGAGGGCACATCCCAAGTAGGGGGCACGCAGGAGGCAGCTGATCGATGTTCCTCTCATTGATGTTTCTAATCTCTATCCCTCTCCCTTCCTCTCTGTAAAAAATCAATAAAATATATCTTAAAAAAATAAATTAATAAATTAATTTTTTTAAAAAGACAATGGAAAAAGGCCACTGGGGCTCCTGGCCTTTGTCAGAATTTGGAGAGTCCCCAGTCAGCCGCAAAAGCAGCTTCGGGCCCCTCAGCAGCCGGTATGGTCAAAGCTCACAGTGGCTGCTGGGGGTTCTGGCTGGGAGCAGTGGGGGTCCCAGGGGAGCGAGGCAGCATGGGGGAGTGGAGGGGTCCCACATGCCTGTGGGGGACACACTCACCCCGTCACCTTACTCGCCAGGCTCCTGTGGGGACATGCCTCCTCAGAGGCCTCAGACCACCCCGAGCGGCAGTTACTAGGAGCCGCTCGATTATTATTGTGTTGTTGTTGTTGTTGTTAAGTGAAGCCCATAGTTTACCGTCAGGCTCACGCTCCGTGTTGCACATTCTATGGGCTTTAACACACAGATGCTAATGTCACCTGCTCACTCTACACTATCATACAGAAGCGTTTCATCGCCCTAAACACCTCCCGTGCTCCGCCGACCCATCCCTCCTCCCTCCCCGCAAAGGAACCTCATTCTTAGCTGCAGAAACAAAGCCACAGGGGTCAACGACTTAGCCAAGATCGCAGAGCTCAGCAGAGCCCGGAGCAGGGTCTCAGGCACCCCTGCCCCTCCCCAACCCAGCCCAGCCCAGCCTCTGGTCATCGCTGGCTGTCTCCTCCTCTTTCCCATTTCTCCCTCACCCATCAGGACATGCTGGGACTCCCCAGGTGCTCACATCCTCCCTCAACAGCCCTTGACCACCATGCACACACACACACACACATGCAGGCACACACACTTGCACACACTCACACATGGAGGCACATGCAGGCACACACACTTGCACACACTCACACATGGAGGCACATGCAGGCACACACACACATGCATGCCCAGCATGCAGGCACACACACACACATATGCAGGTACACTCACACATACAGGCAGGCAGGCACGCACAACATGCATGCAGGCAACACACAACACACATGCATGCAGACACACATAACACGTGTGCAGACACACAACACATATACACATACAATATGCATGCGGGCACATAACATGCATGCAGACATGCACAGCATACATGTGAGCACACCCGCATGCATGCGGGCACACGTACCCTGCCCGCCCACGCCCTGGCCCAGCTCACCCGGAGGACCTTCTCGACGCCCAGCAGCAGAGAGCGGACGTCCTGCAGGTAGTTCCAGGACGGGTGGCCTTCGAGCAGCACCTCCTGCACGGCCTTGGTGGCGCTGAGACTCACCCACACCCACAGGTAGCGCAGCTCCTGCTGGCTCACCCGGGCCCTCTGCTGTGGGGAGGGAGAGATCACTGAACCCCAGACACGGGCTTCCGCACCCTTCCCACACCGCTGACACCGCCTCTGCTGACACCATCCTTCCCGCACCACTGGCACCGCTGACACCGCCTCCGCTGACACCATCCTTCCCGCACCACTGGCACCGCTGACACTGCCTCCACTGGCACCGCTGACACCGCCTCCGCTGACACCATCCTTCCCGCACCACTGGCACCACTGACACCGCCTCCACTGGCACCGCTGACACCGCCTCCACTGACATCGCTGACACCGCCTCCGCTGACATCGCTGACACCACCTCCACTGACACCGCCTCCGCTGACACCATCCTTCCCGCACCACTGGCACCGCTGACACTGCCCCCAACTGCCCGGGTCCCGGGAGCCGACCACAGGAGTCCACTGTGGACTGCGGACAAGCCTGGGCCTGGGCCTAGGCCAAGGGCGAGCCTGCTTGAGGGGCCAAGAAAGGCCCCTGACACAGGAGCTGCCACACACACACCGATGGCTGTCTCTCAGGAGAGGCCCGGACCCTGGAGACAGGGGCCGCCCAGCCCTGGGTGGGGGGTCCTCACCAGCCTCGTGACGTTGGCCGCTCTGAGCACCCCTTCGTAAGGCATGCTGAGCCGGTAGTCGATGGGGAAGTACAGTTTCTGGGGAGGTAAACAAAAGCTGTGAGGTCAGAGTCAGGGACGGCCAAGACAGGTGCTCCCCAATGCCCCGCCCGGGAGCCGCCTGTGCCAGCAGGGGTGGCCTCAGGGAGAGGGCACCAGCTCCGTCAGGGGGGACAGCGTCTCTCCTCTGGGCTCGGGGAGGGAGGAGACCACACACACAGATGCTGTCAGGGCAGAAACAAGAGGAGGGACACCCACCCGAGAGAAGCAGAGTCCTTGGGGGAGGGGAAGACTGAAGGGCACTCAAAAGCGTGGGGTGCCCTGACAGGTTTGGCTCAGTGGATAGAGCGTCAGCCTGCAGACTGAAGGGGCCCAGGTTTGGTTCCGGTCAAGGGCATGTACCTTGGTTGCAGGCACATCCCCAGTAGGGGGTGTGCAGGAGGCAGCTGATCCATATTTCTCTCTCATCGATGTTTCTAACTCTCTATCCCTCTCCCTTCCTCTCTGTAGAAAAATCAATAGAATATGTTGGTGTGTTTTTTTTAAAGTGCAGTGATGGCTGCCCAGCTGAGCAAGTGCTAAACCCACGTGTGATGTGTGTGTGCACGCGCGCACGCATGTATGTGAGTGAATGGTGTTTGTGTGAACCATCTCTCAATAAAGCCGTATAAAAAGGAAACATGAGCCGAGACCAGTTTGGCTCAGTGGATAGAGCATCAGCCTGCGGACTGAGAGGTCCCAGGTTCAATTCCGGTCAAGGGCATATACCTTGGTTGTGGGCACATCCCCAGTAAGGGGTGTGCAAGAGGCAGCTGGTCGATGTTTCTCTCTCATCGATGTTTCTAACTCTCTATCCCTCTCTCTCTCCTTCTCTGTAAAAACTCAATAAAATATAAAGAAAAAAAGAAGAGTTCTCTCTCATTGATGTTTCTATATCTCTCTTCCTCTCTGAAATCAATTTTTAAAAAAAAAAACACATTAAAAATAAATAGATAAAATAAAAGGAAAGGAAACATGCCACATGGGCTTCCCACCCATAAACAGAGCCTGTTCCGGTGTCTACGTCCTCATCTCCCTGCTAATAGCAAGAAGTGTCTGCAGCTCCCCCACAGTTTCCTGGCGTCCAGTCCTGAACCACAGGGTGAGTGCCACATGGAGGTGGGACCGAACGTCAGGCCCAGAGGGAAGGGAGGCCCCAGGAACGGCCGGCAGGAGGGAGGGGGACAGTGTGTGCAGGCCAGGGGACGGGGACTGGAGGGGAGGGGGAAGGGAGAAAGGCAGAGAAAGGAGCCTGTAGGCTCAGGGCTGACGCAGGTCCGAGGAGGGACTCTGAAGGCCCAGACCCCCCTACATCCCGTCAGCCAAGGGGCGTGGGCTGGGGCCTGGCAGGGCCCGTGGTTACCGTGTACTGAAGGCGGTTCCGGTACTGCAGCTTCTCCCGCAGGATGCCCGTGAGGGCGCACTCCTCCGAACCCTGGTCCCCCAGGGCCATGCCCAGGAGGATGCTGAGATCTGTGGAGCGTGCCAACAGGAACACGTGAGCAGCCTGCCCGCTTCCACCCTGCCAGCCCGCCCTCGGCCCGGGCACAGTCCCCGTGGGAGAGGCGCGAGGGGTGGGGGCTCCAGGCGGCCAGGCCAGGCGGGCAGGGGCCATCCATCCGGTCTGCTCCTGGCCAGAAGCCAGCCCTGAAGCTAGTGCCATCTCCTCCCTACTCTGCCGGGGCCCCCTCCTGCAGGGCTGACGTGTTTCAGAGCCTGCTGCTGCATTTCCCACTGGGGACTCGGGAGGCGTCGGCTCCAGTTCCAACTCTAGAAGTGACTCTCGGTGGCGGCAACCATCGTTCTCCTGCCCGCCTGACCGCGTGCCCCCTCGGGCAGAGGCACCGGTGGGCTTGGGGCGGCCCGCCTGGTTTGCTCGCTCTGGGATGCTAAGTGAACCACGCCCAGCTGGTTTCTTACACTCCCTCCCAACAAAAGAGCGGCCGCCTTCTGAATGTTACCAGCCTTTACCACTGGGGGTCGCTGTGACTTCAAACATAGCCTGTGTGATTTCCCGTAACTGAGCTGACTTACCATAAATCTCTAGGAGGAGTTACATTTTATATACACACACACACACACACACACACACACACACACACACACACACACAACAGCTACATCAATCAGAGCAGAAAGAACAAAATATCAATGGACAAGAGACATATCCAAAAAAATCAACCTCACTAATACAGATAAGGACATGCAGGCCCTAGGCAGTTTGGCTCAGCATCGGCCTGCGGACTGGAGGGTCCCAGGTTTGATTCTGGTCAAGGGCACATGGCTGAGTTGCAGGCTTGATCCCCAATATGGGGGGGTGGGGGGAGGAGGGAGCATGCAGGGGGCAGCCAATCAATGATTCTCTTTCCTCATTGATGTTTCAATCTCCCTCTCTGAAATAAAAAATATATATTTAGCCGAAGCTGGTTTGGCTCAGTGGTAGAGCGTCGGTCTGTGGACTGAAAGGTCCCGGGTTCGATTCCGGTCAAGGGCATGTACCTTGGTTGCGGGCACATCCCCGGTAGGGGCTGTGCAGGAGGCAGCTGGTCAATGTTTCTCTCTCATCGATGTTTCTAGCTCTCTATTTCTCTCCCTTTCTCTCTCTGTTAAAAATCAATAAAAAATATATATTTTAAAAAATATATATTTAAAAAAAAAAAAAAGGTAAGGACATTCACATTAAAATAATCCCATTTCACCTATCAAAATGGAAAAGGGTTACATTTAACTTTATTTTAATAGCAGTTGGTGCTGGCAAAAGTAGCAAGGCGGATATTCGCATCCTGGAAAGCAATTTGTCATTAATTTTTGGAATTAATAATGTCCGCACCCTTTGACACATTCATTTCTAGGAAGAAAGCCAAAGGAAAACAAGAAAAGAGAGAGCTGTCAACTAAAAGACTCACGGACAAAGACTCCCATCGCAGCGTTATTTCATAATAGTGACCTAAATGTTTAATAACACTTAACGCAGCCAATAAAAGTCGCATTGTGAAACAATGCTTTCTGACATGTGTATGTGATAAGAAAAGTGCTCAGGACATGCTTGGGGAAGTTTTTTGTTTTTTTTTTAAAGCATGACTCAATACTCAGAGGTTATAATTCAAGTATGACTTGAATTCTGTTAATTACACGTGTGCCTGCAAAGCCGTGTGGTGGAAAGAACTGGCCCAGATTACGTTCTTTATGCTTTATGGGATATATTTTCTATTCTACAGTCAATAGCTGTTATTGCTATAAACCAGTGGCCGGCAAATTCATGAGTCCACAGAGCCAAATATCAACAGGACAACAGATTGAAACTTCTTCGGAGAGCCAGTTTTTTAAAACTTAAACTTCTTCTAACGCCACCTCTTCAAAATAGCCTCGCCCAGGCCGTGGTATTTTGTGGAAGAGCCACACTCAAGGGGCCAAAGAGCCGCATGTGGTTCGTGAGCCGCAGTTTGCCGACCACAGTTATAGACAAAAGCAATCTTTTCTCTCTCTCTCTCTTTTTTTTTTTTCCCCTCCCAAAATCAGCCAGGCTGGCTGAGTCCTCCCCTGGACCCACACTGGTTATGAGCAGGCAGTGCTGACAGACACTCCCCATCACTTCCTGGTCCTTAGGAAGGATTGTCCTTGACCCTACTGGCCTGGGCCCGCTCACAGTCACTGCCCTGCGTCCTTCTCGCCCCGCTGCCCGGCCTTGGCTCCTGCTGGGCCCCCCACCAGGAGCGCCCTCAGGTCCACTCAAGCCTGTGCCCCACCAGGGCTACAGCCCACCAACCCACCAGCCCTTCCTCTCACACAACTCCGACCACCACGATTTTCACAAGGCTGCACATTTGCAACCCATCTCACACTCCCTCGCTCTCTCTCTCTCTCTTCCCAGGTGCTCACACCAGTTATTTGGACAAAGGAACCAGCTTGCTTCGGGTCTTGTCTCTAAGCCACTGACCTTCTCATCTTGGCATCCCCACAGATCAAGGTCATTCCTGCCTCAGGTTTTGCTCCCACATTGTCACTGCCCTGGGTGTCCTCTCACACCGGGACCGCTGGTCTACCCTGCCCAGGGCCTGCCCTGCCTCACTCACCAGCCCTACCAGTCCGTGTCTCTAGCGCCATCCGTCCATTCACTTACCGGCTTCACCAGACCACTTAGCCCGAGTGTGTATAGACACATGGTTAGGCAACCACACCCCGGCTGGTGTGGGGCTCCCCTCAAGCAGGGGGAGGGGAGCAGGCATCTGCACCTCGGGAGGGTGGGCAGGGCCCCCCGAGAGGCTGACTCAGCAGGTCAGGGTGGGGCCCCAGACCTGGCATTTCCCACGCTCTGGGGACCACGCTCTGAGAACCACTGGCCTCAGAGGACAGTTGCAAACTGGTGTCCCGAGGGCCACGGCCAGTTCACAGAGATGTCACCCCAAAACCTGAACTCCCGTCTTTTCTTTAAAGTCTGTCTTCTTCCCTAGGTGGCAGTCACCATTGGCTGCCCTCGTCACCCCCCGTCCTGCCCCAGCTGCCCCCCTCCCACTGTGTCCCGGTCCAGAGCCTCCAGGACCTGGCACCTGTGGGCTTGTAGCCGGGACTGAGTCTCAGCGAGCCAGCGCCTCCAGCCTGGCACCAGGGGCTGGGACAAAATCCTGTCCACAAGGCCTCTGCTCCCCCCCGCCCCACCCTCTCCTCAGATGGCCTTCCTCCACGTCAGCTGTCCATTTCCAACGTTAAGCTTCCTTCCTGCTGCCTCCACCCCGAGAAACAGGCCAGCACACGGGTGCCCAGGCAGGGACAGCCGATGGCCACACGGAGCCCCACGGCCGGGCAAACCTGACCCCGGCTGAGCCCGCCCCCTCCAGAGGGCCCAGCTCAGGCCGGAAAGACAGAGAGGAGGGCAGCCTGGGGAAGGGGCTCCCTACCCCCCTTGCCATTGCCCTGGGGGTTGGGGGCTGTGTCTCTCCCCAAGGAGATAAATAGAGTTCGTCCACCACCCCCAAAATACCCTCATTCACCCAGAGCCTCAGATGCCACCTTATGGGGAAACAGGACCTGCAGGTGTGAGGAAGGCCCACCCTAGAGGCACGGATGGCGCTGATGCAGGAGGAGGAGGAGGAGGAGGAGGAGGGGACTCGGAGGGAAAGACCATGTGAAGGTCGGGGTTGGAGTGACGCCGTCACAGCCGAGGAACCCTGGGAGCCACCAGCGGTGGGAAGAGACAGGAAGGACCCTCCCCAGAGTCTGCAGCAGGAGAGCCTCACCTGGATTTCAGACTTCCGGCCTCTGGCGCGGAGACAGAACGAATTTCTGCTGTTTTAAGCCAAGTCTGTGGCGACCCAGCCCACGGCCTGCACCCCAACCCTCTCACTCCACACCCCATCCTGCCCCAGCGCTGCCCAGCTCTGCCCCCCGTGCCACGCCTCCATCTCAGGCCCATCCCCGGAGCTGGTCCTCAGCACTTCCTGTCCAGGAAGGCTGCAACAGCAGCTCCTGCCAGGACGGCCAGGGGAGCCCTCCAAAAGCAGCAGATCGTAGTCACGGCCCCACCCCCAGGTCGGACGGGAACCTCCCAGCAGCCCCCGCCACCTCACCAACCAGCTCTCCATCCTGAGCCCCTGCCCACGCGGCCCCTCTGCCCGGCCCCCGGAACGGACACTGCCCCCTCCAGACCTGCCCTGGCACCTCACCGCGCTGCTCCGCCTGCTCCTCCCGACCTGGAAGCCTCCAGACACGGGGTCTCTGTCCAAGGAGCTCTGACCCTTCGCAAGATCCTGCCACAAGGGCCGGACTGGACCCCACTCCGCTGCCAGGTCCTCGAAGGCCACGTCCCGACCTCGTCCGTCCAGCCCAGGCCCCCAGGGCCTCGCCGAGCTGCCGGGTCCCGGCGCCGGCGGGCACGGGGAGGCGGGGAGGCGCAGACACACGTGCTCTGACCCCTCCCACGGCCTCTCCGTCTGAGGGGCCCTGGCCTGGCTCCCGCCAGCGGCTCCAGAGGCTTCCGGGCCCTTCCTTTCTGTCCTCGTTTCAACTTATTTTTCTTTTCCCCAACACGCTGCTCTCCCTCCGCCTTTTCATCTGCTCTCCCCCGAGAAACAAGCGCCTGCTGAGGCACCGGCTGGCTTCTCCCACGTCTGGGGGACCAGACGCCCACAGCCCCCGCCGCCTGGCGCCACACCCGGGCGGCTAGGAAGCCTCTCTGCCACCGCGGTCCCCGCAGTACTGCTGGCACCCAGGGGCCCGGGAAGGCAGGGCTGCCACCGACCCCCATGCCTGCCCGGCCCCCTATGCCTGCTCCAATCCTCCATGCCTACCCCAACCGCCATGCCTGCCCCGGCCCCCCACACCTGCCCCGACCCCCCATGCCTGCCCCCACCCCCCACGCCTGCTCCAATCCTCCATGCCTACCCCAACCGCCATGCCTGCCCCGACCCCCCATGCCTGTCCTGACCCCCCATGCCTACCCCGGCCCCCTATGCCTGCTCCAATCCTCCATGCCTACCCCGACCCCCCATGCCTACCCCTACCGCCATGCCTGCCCCGACCCCCCACGCCTGTCCTGACCCCCCATGCCTACCCCGGCCCCCTATGCCTGCTCCAATCCTCCATGCCTACCCCGACCCCCCATGCCTGCCCCGGCCCCCCACACCTGCCCCGGCCCCCTATGCCTGCCCCGACCCCCCATGCCTGCCCCAGCCCCCTATGCCTGTCCCAACCCCCACACCTGCCCTGACCCCCCATGCCTGCCCTGACCCCCCACGCCTGCTCCAGTCCTCCATACCTACCCCAACCCCCCATGCCTGCCCCGACCCCCCATGCCTGCCCTGACCCCCTATGCTGCTCCAATCCCCCACGCCTACCCCGACCCCCCACGCCTGCCCCACAGCCACGCCGCCTGCACCCACCAGCCATGACTGACACCCGCCGTGCCCGGAGCCGGGCGGCTGGAGATGGGAGGAGGGCCGGCCAGGGAGCCCCCGAGGGCACCTGCACGAGGCTGGGAAGCATCTCAACTTCTCACCAGCAAGAATGGCCCAGTTGCCATGGTTACAGCAGAGCCTGGCTCTGGGCCAGGACCTCCCTGGGGCGGTGTTCTCCCCACCCCGCCCCGCAGCCCCCCCAGGACTCACAGTGGAGGCAGGCGAACGCCCGGGGCATGGTGCTGCGCAGGGTCCCCCAGGCGTCAGAGGCGGAGTCCCCGGAGGCGCGTGTGTCCCCAGAGGCCCGAGGGGGCCTACATGGCACCAGGTCAGCGCGGTGCCCCGAGGGGGAGAGGCTGCCAGGGAAGACGGCCTGGCAGGTGGCCTGGGGCAGCGCCACCCTTATCTGCCCGGCCCGGCGGAGGGCAGCCAGGGGGCGGCGGCGGGCGCCATGGCCGCGGGGGCCGGGCCCAGCGCGGCCGCGGGGTCTTCCCTCGGAGCAGGCGTCCCCGGCCCCTCGGAATCCGGAATCCGGGCTGGCTGTGCTTTCTCTGTTCCTCCTCTGCAGCTGCTCAGTGTGAGAGCTGGCTCTGGGGAGAGAAGGAGGAGAGAAACAATTATGTAAGAGCCGCCTGCCACTCAGCCATCAGCCCCGGCACGCGGGCCTGGCGTGGTGGGTGCTGCACCCACTGCCCGGAGGGCCCATCGGGGTCAGGCCGGGCGCTCGGCCCTGCTCGCCCTGGCGGCCGCCTCCTCGGCGACCAGCTCGCACACACGGGGTGACTTCAGACACCCAATGGGCAGCATCGGCCGCAGCCTGAGCAACAGCAGGACCCAGGCCTGCAGGCACCCAGTCAGCACCTTCCCCCAGGCGCCCAGTCAGCACCTCCCCCGGGCGCCCAGACAGCACCTTCCCCCGGGCACCCAGTCACCACTTTCCGCCGGGCGCCCAGTCAGCACCTCCCCCCGGGCACCCAGTCAGCACCTCCCCCCGGGCACCCAGTCGGCACCTTCCCCCGGGCACCCAGTCAGCACCTTCCCCCGGGCGCCCAGTCAGCACCTTCCCCCGGGCACCCAGTCAGCACCTTCCCCCAGGCGCCCAGTCAGCACCTCCCCCCGGACGCCTCCCCCCGGGCACCCAGTCAGCACCTTCCCCCGGGCATCCAGTCAGCACCTCCCCCCGGGCGCCCAGTCAGCACCTTCCCCCGGGCACCCAGTCAGCACCTTCCCCCGGGCACCCAGTCAGCACCTTCTCCCGGGCGCCCAGTCAGCACCTTCCCCCGGGCACCCAGTCAGCACCTTCCCCAGGGCACCCAGTCAGCACCTTCCCCCAGGCGCCCAGTCAGCACCTCCCTCCGGACGCCTCCCCCCGGGCACCCAGTCAGCACCTTCCCCCGGGCACCCAGTCAGCACCTTCCCCCGGGCACCCAATCAGCACCTTCCCCCGGGCACCCAGTCAGCACCTTCCCCCGGGCATCCAGTCAGCACCTCCCCCCGGGCGCCCAGTCAGCACCTTCCCCCGGGCACCCAGTCAGCACCTTCCCCCGGGCACCCAGTCAGCACCTTCTCCCGGGCGCCCAGTCAGCACCTTCCCCCGGGCACCCAGTCAGCACCTTCCCCAGGGCACCCAGTCAGCACCTTCCCCCAGGCGCCCAGTCAGCACCTCCCTCCGGACGCCTCCCCCCGGGCACCCAGTCAGCACCTTCCCCCGGGCACCCAGTCAGCACCTTCCCCAGGGCACCCAGTCAGCACCTTCCCCCGGGAACCCAGTCAGCACCTTCCCCAGGGCACCCAGTCAGCACCTTCCCCTGAGCACCCAGTCAGCACCTTCCCCCGGGCACCCAATCAGCACCTTCCCCCGGGCACCCAGTCAGCACCTTCCCCCGGGCATCCAGTCAGCACCTCCCCCCGGGCGCCCAGTCAGCACCTTCCCCCAGGCACCCACAGTCAGCACCTCCCCCCGGGCACCCAGTCAGCACCTCCCCCGGGCGCACAGTCAGCACCTCACCCGGGCGCACAGTCAGCACCTCCCCCGGCTGCCAGGTGCCTTTTGCAATGGGTGCAGCCAGGAAACCGCGTGTATCGCGGTTTGTTCCCTCCCTGGCTGAGTACCCCATTGTACGGCCAAACCGGTCTGTCCACCCACCAGTGGAGGCATCTGGGTGTTTTTGAATTTTTGATAATTAGGGATGAAACCCCCACAGGTTCTGCACACAGGTTGGGTGCGGCTGGAAGTGTCCATTTCGCTTGGGGGATCTGTAACCTGAATGTGCTCCTCAGTCCTCAGAGCATCGGAGCTCTGCATGCTGCCCGCAGGTGCTGGCCACAGGGAGCTGCCCGCGGGGGCTGACCTCGGGGTGCTGACCGCAGGGAGCTGACCACGGGGTGCTGACCGCGGGAGCTGGCCACGGGATGCTGACCACGGGGAGCTGACCACGGGGAGCTGCCTGCGGGGGCTGACCTCGGGGTGCTGACCGCGGGTGCTGACCGCAGGGTGCTGACCGCGGGGAGCTGACCACGGGGAGCTGACCGCGGGGTGCTGACCGCGCGGTGCTGACCACGGGGTGCTGACTGACCGCGGGGTGCTGACCGCGGGGTGCTGACTGACCGCGGGGTGCTGACCGCGGGGAGCTGACCGCGGGGAGCAGACTGCGGGGTGCTGACCGCGGGGAGCTGACCGCGGGGTGCTGACATCAGGGAGCTGACTGCGGGGAGCTGCCTGCGGGTGCTGACCACGGGGTGCTGACCGTGGGGTGCTGACCGCGGGGTGCTGACTGACCGTGGGGTGCTGACCACGGGGTGCTGACTGCGGGAAGCTGACTGATCGCGGGGTGTTGACCATGGGGTGCTGACTGCGGGGAGCTGACCATGGGGTGCTGACTGCGGGGAGCTGACTGACTGCGGGGTGCTGACCTCGGGTGCTGACCGCGGGTGCTGACATCAGGGAGCTGACTGACCGCGGGGAGCTGACCGCAGGTGCTGACCTCGGGGAGCTGACCGCGGGTGCTGACCTTGGGGTGCTGACCGCGGGTGCTGACCTCGGGGAGCTGACCGCGGGTGCTGCCCGCGGGGTGCTGACCGCGGGGTGCTGCCCGCGGGGGTCCAGGCATGGTCCCTGTCCTATTCTCCTCCGCAGCTGGAGCATCCCTCAGCCCACACCTCACCAACCACACGCACACGCCAGGCTCTGTGCCCCGCCCACACCCCACTACTCCCCTGGCAGCTCCTCGCTCAGACACCGCCCGGAAGCCCCGTGGGGAGCCCCACCCGGGACCTCAAACCCTGGACCGCCAGGCCCCGATGGAGAAGCTGAGGAAGGGAGGAACGGGGTCTTGGCCGCCTTCCCGCCACGGCACAGTCCTGGGCTCCCTCTGGGGTGACACCCAGCCTCTGCGCCCCCTGAAATGAGGGGGGCAGGGAGGGGGGTGTAGGGAAGCCAAGGAGGACACACAGAGGGCGTTTGCCTAACGACAGGAGCTGGGACCAGAGCCGCCCACCCCAATGCATCCCTGGGGCCTAGCACGGCCATGGGGAAGCCCGTGCAGGGAAGAGCTGTGTCAGAAAGTGAAGGCTGGACTATTAGGCTGCCCACGTCATTGGTGCATAGCCAAGCCCAGAGGCAAGTGAAAAGGGAGCATTCATTTAACAGAATCACGGGCGCTGGGAGGTCAAGGAGCAGCCCGTAAGGAGGGAAGCGGGTGACTGGGGCTGACTCTCCCCAGGTGGGAAGCCAGCAGGTGACGCCTCGAAGGAAGACGAGGCAACATGCATGCGATCATGCAGAAGGAGAAACAGACATATTGCTTTTTGAAAAAGTCAGAAGTCCTGTGTCTGGGGAGCAGGAAGTGGGGAGGAGGGAGCAGACAGGAGCCTGCTGTTGTCCTATTGTCAATTTGATTCTGTAGCTCAGGTGCAGTTATAAGTTTGATTTAAAAATATAGCCGAAACCGGTTTGACTCAGTGGTAGAGCATTGGTCTGCGGACTGAAAGGTCCCAGGTTCGATTCCAGTCAAAAGCATGTACATTGGTTGCGGGCACATCCCCGGTAGAGGGTGTGCAAGAGGCAGCTGATCGATGATTCTCTCTTATCGATGTTTCTAACTCTCTATCCCTCTCTCCTCCTCTCTGTAAAAAATCAATAAAATATATTTTTAAAAATAAATAAATAAATAAAAATATAAAACTAGACTTAGGCCCTAGCCCAGAGGTCAGCAAACTCATGAGTCCACAGAGACAAATATCAACAGGACAACGATTTAAATTTCTTCAGAGAGCCACATTTTTTAAACTTCAACTTCTCCTAACGCCATTTCTTCAAATTAGACTCGCCCAGGCCGTGGTGTTTTGTGGAAGAGCCACACTCAAGGGGCCAAAGAGCCGCATGTGGCTCGCGAGCCGCAGTTTGCTGACCACGGACCTAGCCAGTGAGGCTCAGTGGATAGAGCATCGGCCTGTGGACTCAGGGTATCCTGGGTTTGATTCTGATCAAGGGCACATGCCCAGGTTGCGGGCTCGATCCCCAGTAGGGGGCGTGCAGCAGGCAGCCAATCAATGATTCTCTCTCATCGTTGATGTTTCTCTCTCTCCCTTCTTTTCTGAAATCAATAAAAATATATTTTTTAAAAAACCAAAAATATAAAACTGGGCTTTTCAAAAAGGCATTTCAGCCGAAACCAGTTTGGCTCAGTGGTAGAGCGTCGGTCTGCGGACTGAAGGGTCTCGGGTTCAATTCCGGTCAGGGGCATGTATGTTGGTTGCGGGCACATCCCCAGAGGGGGGTGTGCAGGAGGCAGCTGGTCGGTGTTTCTCTCTCATCGACGTTTCTGACTCTATCTCTCTCCCTTCCTCTCTGTAAAAAATCAATAAAATATATATATTTTTTAAAAAGGCATTTCAGTGCAGCAACTACATTGTCTTGTCCGTTGAGGGCCTGCGCCCTGGGGCCTCCCCTGTGCTCTCCTTTCCCAAGCCACCTGCCTGAGAACCAGGAGGCCCCCCTCCTGGCAGCTCCCCCTCCAAGGTGCAGGAACCAGCAACCGGACTAGAGCCCAGCAGCGAACCCCAGAGCCAGCCCAGCCTGACCAGGAGACAGAGGTTTCTGTTCAGGACACACACGTACTCCACCAGCTGTGCAACAACCCCAAACTACAATTGCTGAAACAACCATCATTTCTTATTTTTCACGAATCTTTAGATTGGCTGGGACTGGCCTACTGGGTTGGACTGGGTTGCTGGGCT